CAGCATGGCTGGGGTGGCATGGCTGGGGGTGGCCTGACTGTGGCTGGGGGTGACAGGGCAGGGCTGTCCCCAGGGTCCCCAGCTGCTTCTACGAGGTGACGCGCTCGGAGGCCGAGCGGCTGCTGGAGCGGAGCGTGGGCGAGGGGAACATGGTGCTGCGCCCCGGGGGGCACGGCCGGGGGGTCTCCGTCACCACGCGCCAGGAGACCAACGGGTGAGCGGGGGTCACCGGTGCGGGGACAAGTGATGGGTGGCATCGTGGCACGGGTCCCCTGGTGAGGGGTGTCCCCCTGGGCATGGGTCACTGTGTGATGGGTGTCCCCCCAGGGCGAGGGTCCCCATGGAAGGGGTGGTCCCAGGGTGAGGGTCCTTGTGCAAGAGGTGTCCCCAGAGCATGGGTCCCCATGCAAGAGGTGGCCCCAGGGCGCAGGTCCCCATGCAAGGGGCGTCCCCAGGGTGCCGGTCCCTGTGCAAGGGGTGTCCCAGGTGCTCGGGTCCCCATGCGAGGGGTGTCCCCGTGCAAGAGGGGTGGCAGCCCCCGCTGACGCAGCCCCCGCGGCAGCACGGTGCTGCTGAAGCACTACAAGGTGAACCGCGTGGAGCAGGGCTACGTCGTTGATGTGGACACGCCAGTGAGTGACATGGGACAGAGCTGGGCTGGCCCTGGGGACAGGGACCCGCCCCCCCGGGCACCCACCTGAGCCCCTGGGACAGGCCCCACAAGGGCTGGGACCCCTGGGCTGGGATTCAAGGGATTGGGACCCCCAGCAGCTGGGACACTTGGGGCCTGGGACCCACAGGGACTGGCACCCAAGGGACTGGCACACATGGGGTCTGACAGCCCCAAGGCTGGGCCCCCCAAGGAGCTGGGCCCCCCCCAATGCAAGGAACCCTGGGAACTGGGACCCCCAAAGGGCTGGGGCTCAAGGGACTGGGACCCCCAAATGGACTGGGACCCCCAAAAGCCTGATACCCAAGGGACTGGGACCCCTAAGGGCTGGGACACCCAAGGATCTGGACGCCCCAAGGCTAGGATCCCTGGGAATTGGGACGCCCCTAAGGGAGTGGGACCCAAGGGACTGGGACCCCAAAAGGATAGGGACCCCCAAAGGGCTGGGACCCAAAGGACTGGGACCCCTGAGGGACTGGGACCCCCCAAAGGGCTGGGACCCCCCCAGCACCCAGGAGCTGTGGGCAGGGAATGGGGGACTAACAGGGGGGACCCATGGGGGGGGGGGGGGTCCCCCAAGGGACACCGGGTCCCCCCCGGCCTCCCCCCCAGTATCCCTCCC